TAGTCTTAATAGTGTACAATGATAAGCCACCTTGGCTAGTTCCAAGGTGGACCTGAACAGAGATGCTCCTAGGTGGCCCAATCCATGTCCACCATGTGGCTCAAAGGATTTTTAATTACCCCAAACAATGGATTTTAAGGCTATATTGTAAATAAAGAGGTGTAATCAAATTGGGAAATACAACAAAGTTTAATTTATTAATTGATTATAAATTCATAATTCTCTTGCCATAGGATTTCAAATTAGTTAGGAATTGTTTTACGGGAAATCTTGAGTAATGGTCATATTGCACTCTAATGAAAAATGGTCATAACATTAAAACTTAACACCTGTTTTTCTGAAAATTATGCAGGGGTAAATTTCTGTATTTACCCCTCTCCAACGTCAATCTGTCATTTGTCCATTTTACCCCTCCTATATTATTGTTGGGTGTAAGTTGTCAATTTTACTCCTAAATACATTAGTGAATCACAAATTTTGGTTTAACGTCAAATTAGTATCCCTAAAATGAAAGCTAATTTGAATTATGTTTCAAATTAATTAAAAATCAAGTCATTCTTCTCTACCTTACATAGATCATAATTCTAGTATTTTGAGTTATGTTTCAATTCTAATTAAAAATCAAATCATTTTTTTCCCTACCCTACATAAACCAAAATTATAGCTATTTTGAATTATGTTCTAAACTAATTAAAAATCAAATCATCCTCTCTCTATCCTACATAAACCAAAATTACAAAATAAAATGGATTAATTATTTACCAATTTCTACAGAGTCAAACTAATTAATTCCACAACATCATCTTATTCTAACTACTTGTCGATTTTCATTTATTTTTTGTTTTAAATATTCTTAAACCAATTTCACTATGATACTATTCATTTGAGTATTTCGTCCACGGTTGGTATCTTAAATTAACCAAGTTTAGAATTCTAATTAACCAATGAAATACCTAATAGTCAAAATTTTACGTGATGGGATTTGAGAGGAGTAGAATATCTACAGAGACTTTAGTACTAGCAGGTTTCAATTTCCTACCATTGCACCCTACAACAACTCTTGAATGGATCTCTAAAGATCTTTATTTTCCAAAAGAAAGGAAAATTGTGCGTCTCTCTTTGTTCAAAAATGGTACAAGTAAGTCAATTGTTATGATTCTATTGGTAAATAGGGATGTAGTATGGGCGTCATCAATTCGATCCATAATTGATGAAGGCAAAATTCCAGTTCAAAACTGTCAAATCCAATAAGAAACAATTGGTTGTAAGGTATGTTGATTATTCATGCAATTTGTACATTCACTCATCGTGGTACAGAGATGGTAAATTATGGGTTGTTAGAAACGTTATATAGGATCACACCTGTTGCATTGACACTGTCCGTAACGACCATAGACAAGGAACAACAATAATAAGTGAATGTGCAACGATAATTTTAACCATGAACAATGGGCGGCACCGTAAACATAATTGGCTATGTTCGAAAGAACCATGGAATTAATATTAGTTATGACAATCCTTGGAGAGGATGAGAGAATGCTTTAAACACACTAAGGGACTCACCTGAACAATCATATGCTCTCATCTTTCCCGTTGGCAGCCAGGTTGATTGAGAAAAATTCAGGTACTGTGTTTATCTTTATAATGTATATGCACATATTTAAGGTATACATGCCTCCAGGAATATACACAACCCACGAGGTTGATGCTAATGGTACATGTAGATTTTACATTCGAGGTAGTAGGGAGCAAATACTTGTTCTAGATAGTTGCAATCGAGCTCTCTTGCTCGCCACGAACTCTCTTACTTGACGATGGACGAAGGAGAAAAGAAAATGGAAGAATGGAAATCAAAAGGAATCAATTTTGGAGGGAAAAGAATGGAAATCGATAGTTGGGGGAAGAAGAAAGGTCTCTATGTATAAGAAGGGCAGTTTCCACGTGGTATGATAATTATTTCCGTTTTTATTTTTCAAATTTCCTATATCCAATTTTAAAACTTCAATATCAGACTTTTCTATATCAATTTTATTACTTTTCTGCAACTTAAATTAGTATTTGATACTTTATTTTAAGATTTTTCCTATAACTAAAAGTTGAATAATTTAAATTTTTTTTCTAAATCTAAAATTTCAAAGAATGTATTCTAGATGTTGAATGATTTTAAATTTTTTCTAGATCTAGAATTTTAAAGAATGTAATCTTTGTTATTTTCCTAAATCTACTATTACAAATAATTAAATATTTTTCCTTAATCGTTTGTTCTTTAAATTATTATTTTGTCTAATTGTTCTTGTAACTAATATTTTTCCTAGAATCAAGCTGCAATTTTAAATTAATTAATTATAGTTTTCAGTATAAATAAGTAAATCAATTTAATTAAAATTACATGTAATAAATAATTAGTTAATATATCCACAATTTTTTATCTATTTTTTTTCAAATGATCCAAGAAAAATCTATTTTTTTGTTCTTGGTATCTATTTATAGCTTTTTTTTGTTCAATTTATATAGTTGTTCATTTTGTTTTCACCATTTTATTTACTTTTTTGTTATCACAATTACATTTGCAAAAGATGTTATAATTTTATATAATTATTTCTTTTAATTTTATATCAAGTTAATAGTTTTTAAACCAGTATTATTTAAAAGGTTTTCACTTTGTAATAAAATGTAATTGTCAAATAAAAATAAGTGAAATTTAATAGTAATGTTGATGATAATTAAGTAATAAATTTTTTTAGAATAATTAAGTAATCAAGTTTACTCAAGATAGTAAATACTGAAAAACTAAATAAATTGTTAATTAACATTTTCTCTACCGTAAAATTTATGTTGAATGAATTTGTTTACTTAGACTTTGAAAATACTGGAATTTTAAAAATTAATCATTGGAAAAAATTGATGGACAATGTATAAAAAATCTTTTATATATCAAATAGTATTTCCTAATTTTGTAGGAAGAATGACTTTTGTAAAATAATTTAAATGTAATTTTAATTATTTTAATTAAATAATTAATTTATAAATTATATATATATATATATATATTAAAGAAAATTAAAATTCAATCAATTGAATACAAGTTTAATAAAGCCACTTTAACAAAATACAAAACACACCTAACAAATCCAGACTTAACACCAACCAAACACGTACTTAAAAACTCACACTTAATAAACCTATTTTATGCACCAACCAAACATAGACTTAACAAATCCAAGTTTAACTTAACAAATTCAGACTTAATAAACTATGGTAAACAGCAAACCAAACCCCCTAATGTTTTTGACAAATTAAATTCGTAAAAGCTTCTTGACAAGTGAAGTAATTAATGGACATTCCTTCATTATCAAATAACCAATGAAGGATATAGGCTTCCAAGAACCATAGCCAATTTAGGAAAGGATAAAGAAAATTAGTCTTTGAATCAATGATCAATCCCCATAATTACTACTGAAACTATATCTTTTGCTGTATTTTTATGCATTATCTCTTATTTCTTACCTACCATTATTTTCTTAAAATATTTTTTTAAAAGCCCTCAATTTTCTATTTTGATAAATAAATCAATTATCAATATGTGTGGATTCCACGCTACTTACCACTACAATAGCCTAAAATTATTTTTCGAGTAGGATTTTTTATTTGTTGGATTTAACACCCGTCATAATTTCGACGTCATTGTCAATGATTGGTGTCAATTGGTTTATTTTTATTTTAAGAAATTCATTTACATCATGGCTGCTATCTCACAACAGTTTGGATATATACAAGAGAAAACTCTAAAATGGGTCAACGAGGCAAGTAGAAATAGCTAACTTGACTTCTCTAGTTCAACAGATGGTTGGTATGCAATATGCAACAAATGAAAATTTGTGGAATTTATGTAGCAAATAGTCACCCACGTGTCCTACACTTCAAATTAATTCATGGATCCAAATCCTCTATCAATAATATGATCATATTATTGATAGAGGATTTGGATCTGCTTTTGACATCAAAAGCTAAAACAAACACCTGCACACAAAAAATTTTCACACCGATATGGTTCTAAGCCTAAAACACTCTGTTACCTAAGTCAATAAAAGGTTCAGTTGAGAGTAGTAAAAAGTAGGGTGGTAGAACGTACCTCGCACCCTAAGCCTCTCCGAGTATGTGCTTAGTGCAAGGCCCCTTGAAAAGAAGAAGGTAGCACCGAAGAAAGGAAAGAACGAGATGGTTGTTTTTGTTGTTCCCGCGAAACGAAGATCATTCGCTTGGCGAATGAAGTGGGTCAACCTCTTTTTGGCTTCCTTTGTTTATAGAGAGAGTCTCCTCGTGCTTTGGGTGAACCGGCTCAACTTGGGTTCTGTCTGGTCTAATTGAGTGGTTCAATCTGGATAGTTTGACTCGGGAGGCTCAACCCATGTTGATTCCTCAATCACACACTTCTGATAAACATAAAGTAATTTCGCTCCTAACGGACAAATTCTAATACATTCAAAGTCAAATACAATAAATAAAATAGTTCTATTTTATAAAATAAATTCAAAACTACTTGTTGGAAAACCAACCTACCCTCCATTCAATCACCACGACTCACTTCAAATGACAAGATCATCCTCGACATTGACATGTACTTTATTAGTTTCATCTCGATTTAAATTTTTTTGGACTTCCTCCCATTGATCATTTTAACAAATTAAATGCTAAATGACTACTTGCACTATTTCTTACTATTAAAAGAAAGTTTATTGGTAGAATAAATAAATACATAAAAGGTAATAGTTGTAAAACAATTTACGAAAAAGTTGTGAATCTGTGTCCTACTCGTAAATTATTAAGTAATTAATAATATGGTCGTCAAGCCAAAGGCGGTGGTTCTCAAATTTGTGATAGTCTAGTCCCATCAATTAATTCCTAACTTAAACTTTTGTACATAATATCAAAGGGAAATTCAAACTTTCATTCTCTTTCCTTCATTCCTATACACTTATGTAAAGCAGGCCTAACAGCAACTCGGCCACCAAAAGCTAAGGAGGTTCATTTGGACATACACTAAGGAGGCAATGAGGCATAATATGATTACATTGAAGACCAGAATATCCTCTGGCTATACAATGAAGAAATCAACATCAATTATTATGAATACATCCAAAATTAGAAAGAGCATAGAGAATTACATTAACAGTTGCAATTCATCTCCACCTCTAAATGGACAATATGATACAATTGTTCTACATTAATCATTTTTCTGCTCTAACCTGAAAATATCAGTCAGTAAACTCCACTACAAAAATGGCCTATAGTCACTTCCCTAACTTGAATTACGCCTCTCCCAAGCATTCACTCTATAAATGAGATTATAGCCACCGCTTCGTTGCCTGGGATGACGGGTGGACTGGAGGAGGGGTCCTGGAATTTCTATGAACATCTGCAGAACACACCTACAAGCTCAGAGCCGCAGACCAATTTTGACAACAATGAATTCTAACAATTTTCAAATCGGTTTTACCAACCTGTATCAGCTGGTTTCCCTCCAAGAGATGATCTTCGAGATTTGCTTGACCCTGTCGTCGGAATGCCAGTTAACGATTGCCTCCTTTGCATCCTTGAATACGTTGACAGTGGTGATGCGTCGAGATTAATATTGCTTGAAGCTTGCATTGGAGTATGCAACTCTATCAAATTCTGTTGGTTCCTGAAACATTGATGGGAAAAGTTTAAATTATGAAGTAACAATTCATTTATATGATAAGCTTCTCCTTTTACTGACAGCTGAAATTGACATCAAGAATGACCATTAGTATGCTTATGTAGCTCCCAACTATAACTCAACTACATCCCTTTCATATAACATTAAAGAAAAATAACTTAATTTTAGATAGAACCTGCCTCTTCTCAGAGTTATTAATCAGCTTCCCAATGGTCCTCATGGATCTTCTTATTCGAGACCCTTTTCCACTTGCTGAACTAACTGGGTTGGAAGTCGGGGTATCGGTTGGAAACATCACGTTGCTTTGAATTTGAATCTGGATATCATTTCTGGCATGCTTGGGTGGTTCAGGTGTCTTTGGCAGCTGAAGGCTGATTTGGGTTCTTCCTTCAGCGTTGATCATACGTCTCATATAACCAAAACTCGGAGGACTTTGAGGAAGAGCCTTGGGATGGCTCTCCAATGCAATTGCACAATTGCTGATGCTTTGAGGAGGTTTAGGGATTGTTTCGGAATAAAAGGACAGAGCTTGGTTATACTTACTTCCATCTTCTAATACTTTCATCGCTAAACCATCCCTTTTAATACATTTTGGACCCTCCAAACTTGATCTTCTTGAGCGTATAGAGGGTGTCTTTGAGCCCTTCTTCATCTCTTCTTTGGATGGTTGCTCAATTTTTGCAGCGCTGCAATTCTCAATGCTCAACCGTCGAGGGCGTGGAGGGGTTCTCTCAGCTGCTTGTCTTGGTGATCTTAGTTCCTTTGACTTATTGGTCAATGCCTGTTGTACTTCGTTATTAGCCAAAGCTTTCTTCAGAGTCTCAACCTGTAGAGTGATTTGGGAGAATTAATCTCATCAAAATAACTTACCTAACATACAATGACATACATAATGAATTCAAATATTGATCTAAAGAAAGGGCTAAGACATAGCACAACAGTGGCCAACCATGAAATCGTACTAGAACCTAAGATTAAAAATTAAAGTACAAGTATAGGAACTATGCAACTAATTTTAGCGTGAAAGAACAAAAATAAAAGGTATAATTCAACAAAAGAAAAAATATTATGAATAATTAATGCAACCATGAAGAATTGGAGTCCTGTAGGATGTCAAGTTTCAACAAAATTTGAATGGTGACCATGAAAGGCCATGGTCTAGAGGCAGCAGCATATATTGCATAGGGAGAGTGTAAACAATTACCAGATGATGAAAAATAGAAAGAAGAAAACACAAGTGAAGAACCATTAAATGTTTCTACCCTCCTTAGAACGTTCATGGAATCAGTTGGCTTGAAGATTTACCTGTGCCTTAAGTTGCATGACTTCCCTGCTTTCCTTGTTCAAGCGAGCAGCACCAAGTTCAACAGTCGAAACACTTTGAGCAAATTTCAAAGTGCTTAAACTTTCGCTGAAAGAATCTTCCTCTGGACTTACATGTGCAAACATTACTGTTTTGGCATGCCCACCTGCAGATCAAATTTCCAAAATAATCTTTGTCAAAAAAAGTTAATTTAGAACATATTAGGGACCATTAGGATTTTCAGCAAGAAGATACATGGAGCAATTTACTCCTCCCTTTAGTTTCGACAAATGTAATATTATTTTATCTAATGCCTGAAAAGAAGCGGCAATTCAAGCAAATACATACGGACATACCTAGAGAATCTTGCAAGAAAAGTGTGAGTTTACTGTTTCTGTAAGGGATGTGAGAATTCTTCTGAGCTAATGCCATGATCACATCTCCTAAACAAGAGAGAGACTTATTAATATATTGTGCCTCCCTAAGCCTGTCTCCCGTAACTTCAGATTTGTCGACCCTTTCACTTCCTGCAAGATCTACCAAATGTAGGCAGCTGCGTATAGTGCTCCCTGAATTGTCCTTTCCATGCACATAAACAGTCAAAATACTGCAGACAAATGCAAAATCATCATTTCGCATTTCAGTAACATAATTTCTTTAGATATCCAGGCAACAGATTACATATTGGTTCTTTGAAGTGTTATGGAATTAAATAATTTTTAGACTAAATAGGAGCAATACATATTATATACTGAATGTTACAATAGAAAAGGATGAGAATGCTACTATAGTAGTTGACCTGTGCGAGCGACTACTTCGATTGTTCATAGCCGTGAAACTCACAACACGATTCAACTCTCCTAGTTTCATTACATTAAGAACATCAGCCGTCGATTTCACAGAACGTCGGGTCGCATCTGGAAGGCTCAAGCCAGTGTTGCCATTACAACTTCGAATCTCTAATTTATAGTTAGTTAAAGATGCAAAGTAATGCAAAGAAAAATCACCAAAAAAGTTACATCCTAAAAAAAATGCATTCTAAAAGTAAAAAGCCTAATCATAGATCAAAAAATTTATGACAATAAAATAAACAGAAGGGCAAAGGTAAATGGTAGTTTGTTTTTAATGAGAACAAAAGATATTTCGTAGTTGATGAATCAAATGTAAAGAAAGGATGCAAATTTGAATATAAAGAACAGTAGCAAAAAATTTACTTTCTAATGAACCAAAATCTTAGCAGATCCAAAAAATTTTGACAAAAAATACAAATAAAATAAACAGCAGGCAAGGATATTTGGTAGTTGATGATTCTGCAACAAGAAGGTCTCGTACTTGTTCATTGTAAATTTCAACCATTTGGACATTGATTTCATAGTCGATAATATCCTTCCGTACATTTTGGATTTGGAATAGATCATTAAGAGCTAGATAATTAATTCCAAAGTCTCTGTCTGCTCCACCAGATGGACCATTCTGTCAACTCAATATATAATTTATTTAAGAAGGGAGAACTCAGTCAAGGAATGTATAACTAGAGTTACACATATTTTATTTCTTTTTCTCAGGAAGGGATTGGATTCTGCAGTAATTTCCTTTTAAGCTCCTTCTCAATTATGAAACATAAGTAATTTGATAGACATGGAGAAATGCTCGAGATAAGGTCGACAAACGTGGATTTCTTACCATGGTGTGTGTTTTTCCTGATCCAGTTTGCCCATAGGCAAATATGCATACATTGTAACCGTCCATGACAGATCTAATTAATGGCTGAATATCCTTGAAAACTTCATCTAAAAGAAAAATAAAGGAAGCACTTTGGTTAGCTAACAAACAGTAGTAACATTGAAAGGTATCATCAATGTATACCTTGCTTTGCAGCTGGGCCAAATACACGATTAAACCGAAAAACCTTCCTTCCATCTTTCTTGGGTTTTAATGGATCCAAAATCATTAATGAACCATCCTCCCCAATAAATTCTATCACATTTTTTGATAAACAACTGAATGTGGGCCTCACTCTGCAGTAAACTCGAATATTGCCTGAACAAATAATGATAGCAGCATTACGAGTATCTCAAGGTTCTCCAAGCAAATTGAAAGTGAAAGGATTGTGACGTTTGTCTCTCATTAAGCATACTAACCCTTAAGATCCTGTACCATGTTATATAAGCTCCTGTTCTCTTGAACCACATTATGATAACCAAGAGAAGCATCTGATAGCTCCTGTACCTGATTTTCTGAAACTCAAAAGAAGCACCTTGAGAACTTACAAGTACAGTCTAGGAAGTTAGTTTAATAATTGAACCTCTAATTTCTCATCTACATGTATAAGGAAAAAGTGGACTAATGTTGATTTTTTTTAAATGTAACTTGGGACCATTGTGGAAATTTCATGACAAACAATTAAAATTTTATGCATTACACAAGCAGGGCTTTAATAATTCAAAGAAAAAAAAATGTCCTAATTAGGAAAGTACCCAAGTCTTTCAAGTCTTTTTGTAGCTGAAACTGCAAATCATAAACTTCTCCCTTTGTTTTAGATAAAAGCACTTTGAGATCCTGTATTGATAAACAATATATTATACCAATCCAGCCAGATAAATGCAGATACTTGCTGCACTTCATAAATCTAGTAATGCATCACTTACGACTTCACATGGGATCCTCATATTTAAGGATTTTATAGTGTATATCCAAATTATTTGAAGCCATAAAAAACTAAACATACAATCTAACTAAACAGAATTGACAAATGCATATTCAAAATAATATTAAAAAAGTGCATATTAAAAAGCTTCTAGTTAAACAAAGAAAAATCAAACTCAAACCATCCATTTGAATCAAGACGATTTACCAATAATTTAAGCTGTCTCCAATTGAAAACCAGTTCACATCCAAAAACAATGCATACAACAACAAATATTATGTTCTATATTAGATGTGAAAGACAAGAAATTACCAAAAGTTCCCTCTCTTGCATGTTAAACAGTTTTCGGTGATTGCAGCTTTTCTTTTTGAAGCAAGCTCTGCACCGCTTTAAGAAAAATGCATAAACTGACATTAGCATATTTGATGAAGTTATAAATAAATTTTTATTAATATGAAATATTAGTTATTCGATTAGTTATATCACTATTAACACCGTAAGTTTTTAATCATGTTTATTATTCATGTATATGATCGATGGAACAGTAAAGATATAAAATCTTTGTCATCATTTTATACTCTTCTCCTTAAAATCAAGCTAAATATATTAAGTTAAAAATCAAACATTATTACTTTTACATAAAATTTTTAATTTATAAATACTAATTCCTTAATAAAGTGTAAAAGGAAAAGTCATCACAAGATAGTAAGCAAAAGTCAAATTTTACAAACATACATTGAATACATATTATAACATAAAAATAAAAAAGTTGCAGAACTGGTGTTCGGGGTGGCGGTGGAGAAGAAATGCACATAAAAATAAAAATAAAAATAAAAAATAAAAGATTAAGCAGCAAAAAAGGAAATACAATGGAACTAATAAAACAAAATATAGGATGAAAAGAAATCCACATAAACCAAAAAAGATTATATAATTAGTGTTTAATGAATAAACCTATAATTACTTTTAACTACCACGTCATTTGTTTTATCAAAGTCATCGTTTGTTTTTCTGCACTATTTATCCTATAAAGTTGAAAATTATTCGGCCAGATTAAAATCTAGAGACCAAATAAAATTCTTATCCTAATTTGAAGGATCTAAGAGAAGAAAACAATATACTTCAAGAGAAGGGGAAAAAACTAGGGTTTTTAACACAAACCAAACAGTAAACAGACAAAATATGCATACCTGTGAATTTTCAAGGGCCGGAATATCATCCAAAATTGTATCTGAACGAGCTAGGGAACTGCTTCTTTCTTTTAATTGATCTTCTAAAACTGTATGAAACTTTTTTGGTGGGGCGGGGTTGGAAAAAAAGAGGGTAGATGTTTTTTAATTTCCATGGAACTTTACTGAAAGAATATACACAGCAGGAAAGAAAATAAAGGAGAGAATCAGGTCAAAAAATTCATATCACCAGTCATCAGATAAAAAATATACTCGTCACTTAGTTAAGACATCTCATCTCGAAAGTCATCAGATAACACCTCAATTAATTAAAACCCATTTTAGGAGAACTGGGTTTCAGAGAAAATAAATAAAAGAGTAAGACATTTTCACAGTTTAAGCAAACTGACCTCTGGAAAGTTTTCTTTAAGCGATTCGTCCGAACAAATTGACACAATCCTTCTGAATAACGTTACTGAATTCTGTATACAAGCTAGGAATTCATAAAAGAAAAAAGAAAAATCCACTAAAAGCTAACTCTAGAAATTAGTAATAAGCTTTTATTCAACCTTATCTCCATTTCTTAAAGACGCAAGAAGATTCCCATCAATATTTTCCTTTTCCTGAACCAGGCAATCAACAAGTGACTTGACAATTGATTCTAGAAAAGTCACAGAAAATATAGTGTTAGAGCATGAAGAACCCTATCCAAAGGTGTCAAAGATAGCTCAATGGGTTTAGATTTCATATGTGACTATAACAAATTTTGACAGTATATTTATTCTAAACATAAAGAGTAGACAAGGTTCTTTTTGACATCCAAAAGAGAGAATTAATTTCAAGAACCAAATATTGCACCTTTTTTCTTTTGGAAAAAGTATCAAATTATTTATAAGCCTCAAATTACAAGCATACATTGAAGGAAGGAGAGTTCTCAAACCTTCAAGTTCTACATTTTCGCTCCCAACAGGAGGCCGTTTCTCGCATGTAGTAGTAGACATATCCAAGCGTCTACAAGAGTCTAATGAGACAGTAGACGAGGGTCTTGGATGCATCCTATTGGCAGAATGCATAACCAGAGGAGATTTCACATGTTTGTAAAATCCATTTCCACCACTCATCTGCTTCGACTCATGAAGAGATTTCAGAGCCAAAACACAATCTACTACCTTTGCCTCAAATGTATCCTGAGAAGCCACGGTTTCATGCTCCAGTAATCATATAATTACAGAAAACTAACCATTAACATACATTCAAATAGGAAAAATACCCTTTCTAGATCTGAAGCTTCAAAAGCAGGCAGATTCAGCCCTTTTGCAGCAACCAAAAAGTTCCGGACGTTCTCAAAGTATTGATAGGCAGGCAATGGCTGACACTCCCAGGTAAGTGATGGTAAAGGGCATGGGTTATCCACCACCTTAAATTAATTCGCAAAAATAAAAGTGACGGTTAGAGTACATTGAAGAGATAGGTCCAAAAAACAAAAACAAAAAAAAAAGACTGGAAAAATTCATCTAAATATCCAAATTGATGGTGATCACACAAGTTTCAAAAAGAAAATGAGTAGTAATTGCAAAACCTTGGGCACGGCTCCGGGTTGAATCTTGTTAATGGCATTACACAAGACCAGGCCATTTCTCAAACAAGAAATAAACTCCATCTCTGATGGTTGATTCGGCAGGCCGAGTGGGCCTACAAAGCTTTCAAGCCACCTGACAGCTTCATACCGCCTCCAAGCTGTAAAATTAATCGGTTAGATTTGTATTGTCCTATGGATTCTCAAATATAAACAAGCATCTATAAGTCTGGGAAAACACGGGAATAAAGATTACTTACTTCACAAGAACCATTAAAAAGGGAACACCACTCGACTGAGTGAGCGAAGTAAAATTCACATAAATAAACAATAAATAGATCAACAAGATTCCAGAACGATTCTATTCTCTATATGAATGGGAGTGAAATGAGAGGGATGGAAGAAAAGACCAACCAGCTTCTTCAGCTTTTCTTGACGCCAGAGTCCAACTAAAATGATGCAGCCCATTTCTTGAAGGATCCTCCATTGAAATGCGACCTTCTTGCTTCTCTTCTATTTCGTGCAAACGCAGTTCTCTCTACCAAGAACTGCGGGGATGGAGAGCGGCTGGTTGGAGGAGCAACGTAGAAGAGTGAAGCAAATGATTCACCAGCTAGCTACTGGTTCGCCATAGCTCTCGCGAAGAGACACCGGGGAGGGTTCGGACAGGCAAAATGGGTTTTAGCCCTAATAACTTTGAATGCCCAAGTTTTTGCCGGAGCGGCGCTTCCAAAATGGCACGGCGATTTGGTTCGGTTCGGACTTCAGACCTCGGACTACCCCTCGATAGAAGTGACAGAATTTGAACATAAATCAGAATTCCTACTTTGTCCCTAACGACATTTTCAACTGCCAAACAATTTCAAAAGTGCGAACCAAAAAGCTGTAACGGTCGGAATTTCAAAAACTCACTATCGTCGACCAAGGTTATTTGTGGAATAACAATTATTTCAAAAACCAAATATCGTCGATGGTTTTATTTTAAAAACAAAAACGTTACTCATACTCGTGGGAAAAGTAATAACATTATTATGAGTCGTACTCAAATATATATATATAATATGAGTCTTTCAAATAATAATTTAAATAATATAAATATTTTATGCTACTTAAAATTTAAAAAAAAAACATTATAAAAATTATTTGATGTTATCGTAATGTCATCTCAAAAGGGTTTTTGAAAAAGTTTTGAGGTGTTGTTGGTCACCTAAAAAATAAAACGGTTTGCGAAAACGGATTTTGGTTCGGAAGTCAATTGAGTGTAAAGAATGTAAAACGATTGTCATATTTTATTTAATTATCCTATTTTTATTGGTCCAAAAAATTCGAGATTGCAAATATTTAAAGATTTTGCTAAAGAAGATAGCATTTCAACAAAAAGTTGTCTGACAATAGATATCCCAACAGGGTGGAATTCAACATTCAGTATGTTAAATGGAGCAATTAAGTTCCAAAAGACTTTTGAAACATTAGATGATCATGACCCAAATTCCATTGCAGAAGGTAACATACCTATTAATGAAGATTGAGATAATGATAGAGTATTTGTAGGGTTCTTGAAAATATTTTTAGATGTTACCTTAGAACATATTTTTTCATGAAATGTGTTTGATTCAAGAAACAATTTGTGAATACTCTTTATATGAAAATGACTTGTTGAGTAAAATGACATCAAGCATGTAAGCAAAATTTAACAAGTATTGAGGTGTTAATACAAGTGAGAAATGAACATAGTTGCAATTTAACAAGTATTGACCCGAACCGATTTCAGTATTCCACTCCCAACCTGAAAATCGAACCGAACCGGGATATTTACACCCCTAGTGCAGACATTGATCGAAACTTCTCTGTAGGTCAAATTGTTCATTGCTTCCGGTGTTTCGATTGTTAAATAAAACTAACGGGAATCTGCTGGTGGAATCAGTACAGATGAACCTTGTGTCCATGATTATTTTATTCGATGGAGTTTTTTTTTAAGTTACTTCGTTTTCCGTTTTGTTATGCAAGACTCTAGGTAGGGATTTAGCGAATAGCCCAGAGCAATGTTGCGAAGAAACATTCGGCTGAGGAGGGAGTATTTGTACAGAAAGAGTTTAGAAGGCAAGGAGGTTTGCTTTATGAGAAGAAGCGGAAGATTAGAGAAGCCCTTGAAGGTAACACATATTGCTCGGTAAAATGAGAGTACGAAGTAGGAGGATTAAATAACCCTTACTAGTCAAAAGAGTCGCATAGACTTTCTAATTGATTTCTATATTGAACATATAATAGTTACAAAAACTATTAGGAGTACACCATCGTGGTACCCAAAAAAATGGTTGTATTAAAAGTATTACGAGGAGTTTGAAAATTTGTGGTTGAAGGTTGGGCTATTTCTTCCCAACCGCACTCTAAGCTCCTAAATTGGGAATGGTTAACTTTTAGCTCCTTGTTGATTTTTTTTTCCTGCAGAGGGAAAACCTATTCCTACTGAGCTTCGGAATAAGGAGGCAGCGCTTCGTAAAGAAATTGAACTCGAGGATCATAATACAGCAGGTACTAGTTTATGACTACTCTCCAATTAAATGGGAAAATGACCACTTATTTCTGTTCTCGACCCTTCCTAACGAATTCAACGAAGCCAATGACTTACTTTTTGGGTCTTGAATATGTCCTTAGGCAACATCAATGGTCTAACTATCCATTTATTTTTCCTCTAAAAAATCCTCACTATTCCCCTTAAAACTTTATTCCCCCTGCTGTTCCTCACCCAAATATTTATCCTCCTCCTCCCAATTGATTTTTCCATCTTCCACTACATTTTCTCTCAATTTTTTTATATGAAACAAAACTTTCATTGAGAAAAATGAAAAAGATACAAAATATACCAAAAAGCCTAAAAAGGGCAAACAAAAAGACGGCCCAGCAAGAAAATCAACAAGGAGCTACAGCCAAGGCCGTTGGAACTGCATAAGGGGAGACACAATTTACACGAATCCCATGTTGTCCCAGCTCGGCTGCAATGCTCCTCGTAAGCCCCAACACGGCGTGCTTGAAACCTACATAGTGATGAGGCCCTACTCCAGCTATCACACTGCCAACACTCGCTAGAGATATGATCGATCCCTGCTTGCGTGGAATCATTACATTGGCAGCATACTTCATCCCACGAAAACTGCCTTCACGTTTATATCAATCACCCTCTCGAACTCCTACAGATCGACGTTGCGAATATTGGAGCATGGTGTGCCTGAGATCCCAACATTGTTCACCATTATGTGAAGCCTTCTGAATTTACTCACTATTGAGTCGACTGCACGACGTATGTCGTTTTCCACGGTGACATCACAATGGAAGTAATAAGTGTTCGCGTTGTCGCCGAGGCTTTCGTTGAGACACTGACCGAGCACGTCCTGCACATGAACAAAGCAAACTTTTGCAACATGTCTGTGGAAGAGCCGCACAATGGCGTCCCCAAACGCCAGAGGCTCCTCCAGTGACCAATGCCACTTTCCCTAACAACCTGAAAAAGGTAAGAATCAATTCTTCATATCAAATTCTACAACGTTTGATTCTGAAATACTTGCACATTTCCATACCAAATCTAAAGGAACGCTATATATATCGTCCTGAATCTCAATAACGACAAATAAAAAGCCAATCGATGCACTTGAAATCCAGTTAAATCCTTAGTTTAGCCCTCAACAGCTAAATCATATAGCAAAAACATGTTGGTAAGAAAATTTTCCAGAAATGACCATTGTTTCCCCATCTTAAATAGTATAATCTACACGATTCGGGAACTCAAAGCCAATCATAAAGCTAAAATCGTATGGCCCCATACAAATCATATTTCTTCCAATACAGATTTTGAAGGCAATCAATCAAGACTATTATAAGAACAAAAACAGTAAAGCCAATTTTTGTTAGTATTTCTCATACTACTTGAATTGTTATTCATAAACGTTCAACACTTTAATGAAAATGAGAAGAACGGTTGAAAAATGGGCTTAAAAAAAGGAAAAAAAAACACACTTTGATAAAGGGAAAGTTTGATAAACATTCTGTTTCTCCCTTTCATTTTTTATTTCATTTTCCATCGCGCGTGTCAAATCATCACTCGTTAATCCAATCAACATTTCACCCTCAACAGTAACACATCTTATTAGAATCAAAATGTAACGCCCCGCGTTCTCTGACTCGTTTATTTTAAGAGATAAATAGTGTCTTTGGATTTTTCCCTAGGTTGATAACTTTAATTCTTGGATTTTCTAACTTTGAAATTCTAATTTTTGGCTAAATTAGAATTAAGTTTAATTT